CCTTTTGTTCTGTTCAGGATGAAAACGTCCACAGAATTAAACTGCTGTGAAAATGCATCAGATTAATTCTTTTTCAATACTTTTGCTTAAATCTGCTAATCAACCTCAGCCCTAATCAAAATGACTAAATTGTTGTCGGTGCCAGTGGTGAAGTGGTTAGTGCGTTGACACATGCACTCCTGTGCTCATGGCTCACGGAGTTCGATTCCCGCCTCGCAATCCTCCTGTCCTTCTCCTCTCTCTGCTCCTCATGCTTTCCTGTCAATGCTCTATACTTTCCTATCCATTAAAGGTGAAAACCTCCTATATATATATATATATATATATATATATATATATATATATAAATACTTCTCGATTGTTTAGAAAATTACAGGATTTTAGATTTAAGTATTTATTAATTTAGACACACAAACATTTCCTTTGAATTACAGCAAATGTTTTTATACTTGGTCTTATATATATTTAACTTTATTTCAGCGTTCATATTTAAGTTTGTTTTGATTAAAAACACATTCATAACAGTTTTGTTTTTGCTTTTAATCTACTATTTTTACTGTTATTATGTAATTTGGTATTGAAATATGAATTTATTTAATAAATAATATTTTTAACCATTTTAATTTGCTTCTTTATTTCAGTTTTAATATTTTTAATTAAAAAAAACTTTCAACTGTTTTATTTATTTACTTTTTTTACTTTTTCTACTATTTTTACGGTAATCTATTATTTATGTTATTATTTGCTATTATTTATGTTGCTTAAAATATGTATTATTCTTAAATAAATAGTTATTTTTAACAATTTTAATCATTCATCTACTTTTAGAAAAGCAATTAATCTGATGCATTTTTGCAGCAGTTTACATAATTCAGTGGATGTTGTCATCTTGAACATAACAAAAGGTTATAGTACATTTGAACAGTGCACAAGGGTTCATTTGTAGATTAAGCATTGTTATTAAGTATATTAGGTATACATTATTGTTGTGATTTAATATATGAAGTATTTAAATAGTAGATGAACGATTAAAATGGATAGTAGTAACTATTTATTTAGGAATATTACATATTTGTAAGACAAGATGAGAGTAAAAGCAGTAGATAAAAAGTAAAAACAAAACCAGTCAAAAACCAGTTTTTTGTAATAAAAATATTAAAAATGAAATAAAGAAGCAAATTAAAAAGGTTAAAAATAATTATTTATAAAAAAACACATTTCTAAAACAAATGACATAATAACAGTAAAAATAGTAGATAAAAAGTGTCAAAACTCAAATATTAAAGCTAAAATAAAGTAAAATATATATTAGACGAAATCTAAAAACATTTGCTGTAATTCAAAGGAAATGTTTGTGTATATAAATGAATAAATACTTCAATAATATATATATATATATATATATATATATATATATATATATATATATATATATATATATATATATATATATATATAAATAGTTAATAAAATACCTAATTACAAATATTTGTTCTATGATTGGCTCAAAGCAATCTGGCAGATATTTTTATTTAATTGTTTATCAATTGGCTCGGTGGTTAGCACTTTCGCCTCACAGCAAGAAGGTCGCTGGTTTGAGTCCCATCTGGGCCAGTTGGCATTTCTGTGTGGAGTTTGCATGTTCTCCCTGTGGGTTTACTCCGGGCACTCTGGTTTCCCCCACAGTCCAAACACATGTGCTATAGGGGAATTGATAAACTAAATTGGATGTAGTGTATAAGTGTGTGTGTGTGTGGGTGGGTGGGTGTTTCCCAGTACTGGGTTACAGCTGGAAGGGCATCCATTGTGTAAAACATATGCTGGTTCATTCCTCTGTGGTGACCCCTGATGAATAAAGGCACTAAGCCGATGGAAGATGAATGTTTATTAATATATCAGACTTGGTTGCAGCTTGTTGTAGCATACTTTTTTATTTATTAATGTCGGATCTTAATTTAATGCTGGGTTAAAATCTGTAAAGCACAGATGATCAGGAAAGGCAGAAGGAAAAAAGGCACTTACAACAAACACGACATCAGTCAGAAATGAGCAAACGAGCAGAATACACTGAATAAAACACATCAAATACATGCAGAACTACATGGCCAAATAAATAAAGTCAAGCACACGTCTACAGTTATCATGACTGAAACCTGATGTTATTCGCCTTCCTAACTAAGGTTAGAAAAATAGCATAAATATATAAACCCTACGAGACGGCACATCCACAGACACGTACATCTTTCAGCGCTATACATATAAAACTCTTTATGAAAAATAACTCTTTATAAACACGCCTGGTAAACTCGGAGCAAGATTCGCCAACGTTTTAAGTGCTTCAAAATCTCCTTCAGTTTCATGACACGTCTACAAAATACTCCTGTTTCAGCTTCAAAATATATCTGCGCTCATTTCATTGGTTGATCAGTTTGATTGTGATTAATTAGAAGGTCTTTTTGTAGCTAATTGGTTCATTTCACACAGGAATATTTCACCCAAAAACCTGCTGTTGTTTTTTTTTGCTAACCCACATGCAACCTATTTTTGTATTTTGATTAACCTTCATACAACTGCTATGTAAAATATCAAGACCGGCTATAATTTAATTTAATTGCTGTATCAAATATCGCTAGCAATTAGCTAAATCAAGTAAACGAATCAGTAAAATGTGGCCAACGACTTAACTAAAACAAAGGAATGAATCAGTAACTTGTGTCAATGATTCACTTAAAACAAAGGAATGAATCAGTAACGTGTGTCAATGATTCACTTAAAACTAAGAAATGAATCAGTAACGTGTGTCAATGATTCACTTAAAACAAAGGAATGAATCTGTAACGTGTCAATGATTCAGTTAAAACAAAGGAACGAATCAGTAACATGTGTAATGATTCACTTAATATAAAAGAGCGAATCAGTAACGTGTCAATGATTCACTTGAAATAAAGGAATGAATCAGTAACATGTGTCAATGATTCACTTAAAATAAATGAACGAATCAGTAACGTGTGTAAATGATTCACTTAAAATAAAAGAACGAATCTGTAACGAGTCAATGAGTCACTTAAAATAATGGAACGAATCAGTAAAAGTGTCAATTATTTACTTAAAATAAAGGAACGAATCAGTAAAAATGTGTCAATGATTCACCTTAAATGAATGAATCAGTAAAAATGTGTCAATTAGGCTAAAACAAAGGAACGAATCAGTAAAATATGTCAATGATCCACTTAAAATAAATTAACAAATTAGTAAAATGTCAATGATTCACTTAACACAAATTAATGAACCAACAACCAATGAACCAATGAAACAGTGAAACTTTCAATGATTTACTTAAATTAAGGAAACGAACCAGTAAACAAATTGATTCACTTAAAATAAATTACTGAATCAGTATAAATGTGTTAATGATTTTCCTAAAACAAGGAACAAATCAGTAAAATGTGTCAATGATTCATTTAAAATAAAGTAACGAATCAGTAAAAATGTGTCAGTGATTCACTTAAACTAATGAATCAGTAAAAATGTGTCAATGATTCACTTAAAATAAATTAACGAATCTGTAAAATTGTATCAATGGTTGTGTTACCTTGGCGAGGATTTATTGAATACTAATTAAAGAATCAGTACATTTCTATAGTTTATCGTAAATTTGAGAAAGAATCAGAACAGCACTCTACAGTTTGTTGTAAAGCAAGAGAATAAAGTTTTTTTTTGTAAAATAAGAGAATAAATCGCTACTATTTTCAGTAGTTTAACTTAAAATGAGAAAATGAATCAGTACAATGTTCTATATTTGACTGTAAATTTAAAAATTAATCAGTACTATGTACTACAATTTAGCTTAAAGTCAGAGAATGAATCAGTATGATTTTTTACATTTTACCATAAAACAAGAAATGAATTGGTATGTATCTTTTATTTTGCATATCTATAGTTTTACGTTAAACAAGAATACGAATCGGCGCGTTTGTCATTTTGCATAAAAAAGAAAACGATTCAGTACGTTTCTATGGTTTTACGTAAAACAAGAAAACGAATCGGTGCGTTTCTATGGTTTTATAAAAAAGATTCAGTACATTTCTATGGTTTTAAGTAAAAAAAGAAACGAATTAGTACGTTTCTGTCATTTTACATAAAACAAGAAAATGTATTAGTAGGTTTCTATAGTTTTACTTAAAACAAGAATACGAATCAGTACAACATTCTACAGTTTAATTAAAACAACAAAATCAACGCTCCATAGTTTAGCATAAAATGAGTGAATGACAGTACAAGGTTCTACTTTTTCTGCGTTATACTAATTTACTATAAATACTAAATTCATGTTCTTTCTGATTTATTATCTATTTTTGTCGGTTACTTGTAATGTGTGGGTCTCCATAGGATATTTAAAAGTTTATTTTTTATTTTTTGTGTAAATATATCAATTGCTTGTTGATAGATGGCTTTGGGTGAAAGACTCCTGTCAAGTAGTCGAGTAGAGTTTAAAGAGTTGTGAAGAGAAATAATTCAAGATATCGATTCGGAGGTTTTCAAAATGCGTCAATATTCTCTCTTGAATCTATTCTGATTACAGCAGATGGTGCTCTAATCTAGTTTTTAACAGCCAATGGCGCTCTAGGCTAGATTTCAAACAGCAGATGGCGCTCTAGGCTAGTTGACAGCAGATGGCGCTCTAGGCTAGTTTTTAAACAGCAGATGGCGCTCTAGGCTAGTTGACAGCAGATGGCGCTCTAGGCTAGTTTTTAAACAGCAGATGGCGCTCTAGGCTAGTTTTTAAACAGCAGATGGCGCTCTAGGCTAGTTTTTAAACAGCAGATGGCGCTCTAGGCTAGTTAACAGCAGATGGCGCTCTAGGCTAGTTGACAGCAGATGGCGCTCTAGGCTAGTTTTTAAACTGCAGATGGCGCTCTAGGCTAGTTTTTAAACAGCAGATGGCGCTCTAGGCTAGTTTTTAAACAGCAGATGGCGCTCTAGGCTAGTTGACAGCAGATGGCGCTTTAGGCTAGTTTTTAAACAGCAGATGGTGCTCTAGGCTAGTTTTTAATAGCAGGTGGTGATCTAGGCTAGTTTTACAAGCAGATGGCGCTTTAGGCTATGTTTTACCAGCAGACAGCGCTCTAGCCTAGAGATTAACGGCAAATGGTGCTGTAAGTTAGATTGTACCCATATACTGAAATGCTCTAGTGTAAGCATATCCTTAAAAAAACGAGGAAGAGTGGCTACGGCTGAATGATATAAGTCAGATTTTGTGTCATGAGAGATTGATGTAAACACATGTCACTATAAACACTTATAATTTGCTTAAACCTTTCCAAACTATTAATGATCGTTTTAGGTTCAATTGGTATCTGTAATGCATTGGTTGCAAGCAGAATACTGCTGTTAGTAAAGCATACAGCGCCATCTGCTGTTAAAAACTAAGCTCAGAATTTATTCAAGGGAGAATTGAGGTCCATTTTGAAAATCTAGAAGATGCAGAATCAGGTTGTGTTATCAAAAGTACTGACCATGATACCAATTGGTACTGAAAGTGTATGTATCTCTGTAAGTGCTCCGTGAAGACTGCTCAAGCGATGATCATTGTAGCCAATCAGAGGAGTTTAAGAAGCCGTTGATCAGCATTCAGATGTGAAGTCACAGTGCCAAATGGTATCGCGGTCAGCACTTTTGACCTCATACGCTTGTTTATTATGGATCAGTGTGAGGAGCTGCGGTCATTAGCCACGTCCTGCAGGCGTCTGAGCAGCGCCGTCTGGTTCTCCTGACACAGTCTTTTAGCAGGAGACTGCTGCTCTTCCTCCAGAGCGATGCTGCGCTTCTTGGTGGGCGTCTCTCCGGTTCGGATCATGGTGTTGATCTCTCGGAGCCGCTGTTGGATGAAGTCATGATGCTTTTTAGTGAATCTGAACCTAAACAAGTTTTTTTACAGTAAAGATTTGCTCTTACGTGTGACGGGCTGGAGCTGACGTAGTAGAAGATTTTGTCTCGTGGAGATATGGGGCTGCCGGTCTTGTGCGGAGAGATGTAGATGGAGTGATTGTGGGATAGGAGGACGCGGCGTGGAGAGCCGATGCGCAGCGACGGATACGGACAGAGCGGAGGAGTTTCAGCCTGCTGACACACAAACGCAGGAGTTATTATAGACTTTCTGAAGATCGTCTATTTTAATCATCGTCAAATGAGAAAAATAATCACTACAACGTTGAATACAGTGGAATTAAAACAATAGAATGAATGAGGACAACACAAACATGAAACTGTACAACATTTGAGGACACTGATCAGTCTTCAGTCTTGAGACCGCAGCAATGCAGACAGTAGTTACCCCATTTTTGGGCGAGTTGCTGGAGTAGCGCAGAGCGAAGGGTTTGATCTGTTTGATGTAGACGTGGTTGTAGAAGCGGATGAGGTCCCCCCGCTCCTCCTCCTGCTCCTGGGGCCCTCCCGGTGCCCGGGTCGGGGTGGATGGAGCGCTGCTAGGCTGGGGAATGGGCAGCGTACTGCTGGAGCGCATGGACACGGGACTGCTCTCACCGCTTGCTGTAAAGCAGGAATAAAACATGAAATTGTGTATAGCGCTGGGTGATTAATTAAAGTTGGTTATTATGCATATTTTGCTTGCTAGGTTAAAACGGTTGACTTGAAACTTTATTATGAAGCTTATTATCATATCTTCTCTTATTAACAAAGTGAAACTTGACAACAACAGATCCTAAAAATGTCGTAACATAGATTAGCCTTAAATATTGTAGGCGAAGGTCAATTTCTTGCACTTTTTGTCAGTAAAATCGGTACAAATTTTAGATTTTTAGTCGTAGTTCACTTATAAGCTACTCAAAAATCAGTTTCAACACTCAAACCTTTTTCTTATCTCATTTTCGTCTGTTTATCTGGGGCCGGGTCACAGGGGCAGCAGTCTTAGGCCCCGTTTACACTAGTACGTTTTAGTTTTAAAACGGCGTTTTAGAATGAAAACGATCCGCGTCCACACTCAGCGTTTCTGAACTGCTCTCCGTCCACACCAAAACGCTGAAAACACACATCACGTGACCACACAGACGCTCTCGGGCAAGTGCTGCAGCCCATCTACCCAGATGAGAGCTCTGCTAGTCGGACTTCTCATCAAGCATCTCCCGCTGGATCTAATCTCACTATATTTATTAAACGGGATATTTCATTTATCTTGTTGTCTTTATCTAACGACATATTCCCTGACTTTGGGCATTGGAATCTATTACTTGTTCTCTGGTAACGTGTTTTGGCTGAGCGCAAAGATAAGTTAATGATTAATGTAAGCACGTACATTCTGTATATTGACTGATCGCTTGCCTTTATTTCCTATAATGTAAAAACTTATTGTATGTTATACTTTTAAAATGGCCATTATCGATTCTTAAAACTGATACTCAGCAAAAGAGAGGGTGTGTTTCGTATTTTCACTGAAATTGAAAGGAGGCAGTTGTTATCGGCTCCGTTTTGTTATAAATATCCACACAGTGAAGATGATGCTCATATATGCAGCACGACGCCTCAACATTTCTGCTGTCTAAGTTGCTAATATTAAAATGAAAATAGGCAGTTCCTTAAATCATGTTTACATTTTATTGTTGAGAAAGTGAAACAACGTAGCCAGGGTGATGTGAATGAAGTTATAAAGTACACTGTTCCCTTTGAAGATTTACCCGTGTCCTCGGTATAGTCTGCTTTTCCATATCAAACTGAGAAGAAGAGACTGCAGCCTTGATCAAACTTGCGAAGTCTGAACTTACACGGAGAGAATGCAGGACTGAACTGTGCGTGTTAGGCTACTTAATATTCAGGAAAAGCCCCAATCAGAGAGGCGAACGTCTGCAGCCCCGCCTCCGTTTTCAGATGTCTCCGTTTTCCATCATCCACACTGAGACGGAGCAGCAGCGTTTCAGAATGAAAACGGCCTCTCCAGCGTTTTCGAAACGCTCCGTTTTCGGCGCTCGAGAACTCCGGCGTAGTGTGGACGGTTGGCGTAACCGTAGCAAAACTTATGCGTTTTCAAACTAAAACGCATTAGTGTAAACGGGGCCTTAGGAGAGAACTCCAGACTTCCCTCTCCCCAGACACTTCCTCCAGCTCCTCTGGGAGAATCCCGAGGTGTTCCTAGGCCAGCCGAGAGACATAGTCCCTCCAGCGTGTCCTGGGTTTTCCCCGAGGTATCCCTCCGGTGGGACATGCCTGGAACACCTCCCTAGGTAGGCGTCCAGGAGGCATCCGAAACAGACGCCAGAGCCACCTCAGCTGACTTCTCTCGATGTGCAGGAGCAGCGGCTCCCCTCCGAGCGGCTCCCCTCCCCTCATGGGTGACAGAGCTCCTCACCCTATCCATAAGGGTGCGCCCTGCCACCCTGTGAAGGAAACAAATTTCGGCCGCTTGTATCTGAGATCTTGTTCTTTTGGTCATGACGCAAAGCTCATGACCATAGGGGAGAGTAGGAGCATAGATTGACCAGTAAATCGAAAGCTTTGCCTTTCGGCTCAGCTCCTTCTTTACCACAATGGACTAGTACATCGACCGCGTTACTGTTGCACCAATCCGCAATATCATGCTCCATCCTTCCCTTACTCATGAACAAAACCCCAAGATACTTGAACTCTACCTGGGGTAAGGGGTTTCCTCCAACCTGGAGGAAATATATGAGAGCTTCTTCAGATGGCCGATCACACAACAGTGCTGTCCTGACGAGATGTGCATGACAAAGATTTGTTTAAGCCTTATTAAGAGGGCTAATCTCGACAAAAACAAGATCTTATCAGTGTCATAACAAAGAATTCTTAATTAACGCCTTTAATAATGTAGTTGATGGCAAGCATCAAGGGTTTATTGAATATGTCTGCCAAATGTAGGTATATATGTTCTTTACATTTAAACAGACAGGCTCTAATGTCTCAATGTTTTCAAGGTGACCTCTAATAAACAGACGATTCTCACGCTCTGCATAATATCACTCCGCCTGGTGCAGGCATGGTACAGCAGCAGAGTTTCTTGACTATTACGCCAGAATGAGAGTATAGTTCCTAGCAATATTGGCCTGGAAAATAGTCGTTTTTTTTATTTTACGTCTTATTATACGATGTAACCACAGAATACTCAAGCTTTAAAAATGAAAAATGTAAGTCCCTTTAAGTCAGAGTCCAGACTGAAGTACTACAACACAATAATATAACTGTAAGTGGCAGAATTCAGTACAACACTCATGCTGTCAAAGGAAATGTGTGTCACCTTGTTCTTGTGCTCCCTCAGTGGGTGAGCTCTGTCTGTGGGTGTTTTCAGTGTTTCCAGAGTGTCGTCTCTTTCTCCCAGAGATCAGCACACTTCTGTACACCTGAGATAGGAGTGTCGTCTCCATTAATAAAACAATCTCATCAGCATCTTTAATACTGCTTTACACACAGACTGAAACTCACACTGCTGCTGGCCTGAGGCTGAGATCTGTAGCACTTCATGATGTTCTGGAACGACTTGTCCTCTTTCGTCACCTGAAATATAGATTCAGTGGTCATTTCGAGACTTTCTTCCTGGTATTCTTTATTATGTTAGTGCAAAACATGGCCAATTTAATGACGTTTCCTTGGATTGCATTTAGTTATGCACTAATATAACAACTGAAACCGATAACCGATAATTAACCGATATTGATAAATAATAACCGATATATACTGTAAATACAAATCTTTATATGATTTTTTAAAGGGATTTACAAATTGCAATTGTAAAGTAGTTTAACCAACAGAAATAATCTAGAATTTATTGGCCGATATTTATTTTCATTACTGGTCTGATAATGATTATATTACAAATGAGCATTTATCGGCCACTACCGATATGGAGGCCGATATATATCATGCATGGCTGCAGTAAATAATGTTTCGATGTGAAATACCTTAGTCATGACGTAGATGGCGCACATGAGGAGCTGGTCAAGATGTCGGTCCATCATGAGGTCGGTGCAGTGGACAAGCGAATACTCGAAACAGGTCCAGATCTTCCTGCGCAGATCCGCACTGATGTCCAGTTTCGCACACAAGTCTCTGAGACGCACACTAGCTAGATGATACACCTGATTGAGAAACAATGCTGCTTAATCATGTCAGTGAAAAGAAAGAAACCCTCACCAACATGGGGAGAACATGCAAACTCCACACAGAAATACCAACTGACCCAGCTGGGACTTGAACTAGCGACCTTCTTGCTGTGAGGCAACAGTGCTAACCACTGTGCTACCCTAATACTGATAAAGACAACGACTTTGCTTATTTACAGTTACTTTTATCTTCTCTATATAATCAAGTTCTGTCTATATAATATTCAGGTCTGGACACTGTGGAGGCCACTTCATGACTGCTAGTGTTTAATCAGCAAGTTTCCCCCCAAATGTGATTCCATGAGATGCTTAAATATGGTCATTATGACATTCTTAAGACTTGTGCACTGTACTGCATACTTGTTAACTATGATAGAAGGTTTAGCAAGCACAGATCTTACTGTACCTTGCGGAAGAACAGGCAGAGAGAGCCTGTTTTCTGGGCCCGTTTGGTGGGTGTTCCCTGCTGAGGTGTCTTTTTGTCCTGTTTGGGAGGGCTGGGGTTGTTTTGCACGGCGCCCATAGGTGTTGTTGTGAGCTGCTGAGTGGTCAGGGTGCCTGTCAGAGTCTGCGCACTGAGGGTTGGCAGAGTCGCTCCAGCCTGACTCGTCACACTCACTTGCACTGGGATAAATGTGATTCCTCCACTCTCATTCGCTATTCCTGCGATCAGAGTCAGTGGAGATGTAAGCAATCTGAATTTACAATAATTAATCATTTATCTTAGCAAACAATAACATATTTAATAAACAATAACATAAAAGAAAGAGTCCTCTGAAGCCCTCCACCTCCCCCAGCACCACTCGTCTAAGGCTCAATACCAATTGATGGGCGGGGCTTCTGTCTCCCTGGTGAAAGTAGCTTCGTAGCTAAATGGCTAACATGGATTTTATTGAGAAAATAAAAGTGTTTATGTGCTTTATAAAGGCTGAAAAACAACATTGATATGTTCGGGGCCGTGTCTGAGTCCACTAGATGCTTTCAGAGGTGCACCCAGCTCTGTGAGCTTACAAACTCCAGAAACTTAACCTGGATGACGGAGGCTTTCAGCGGCGCTTCTGTTTGAGCCAAGCCCAGTTTGATGAACTGTTGTCGGTGTTGACTGGAGGATTTCCCCCGAGACCCCAACAACAGGCGCTACATAATAATCTCGCCCAGGAGCGCAACTACACATTAACTGAGGGGTGTGTGGGTTCAAATTTATTTTATATATACTATATTTTAAAACAGGGAAGTGATAGTGCTACAATTTTCCATCAATATTCATTCATTCATTTTCTTGTCGGCGTAGTCCCTTTATTAATCCATGGTCGCCACAGCGGAATGAACCGCCAACTTATCCAGCAAGTTTTTACCAGCGGATGCCCTTCCAGCTGCAACCCATCTCTGGGAAACATCCACACACACTATCACACACACTCTCATACACTACGGACAATTTAGCGTACCCAATTCACCTGTACTGCATGTCTTTGGACTGTGGGGGAAACCGGAGCACCCGGAGGAAACCCACGCGAAGGCAGGGAGAACATGCAAACTCCACACAGAAACGCCAACTGAGCTGAGGTTCGAACCAGCTTGACCAGCCTAGCCAGGCTGGGAGTCCAGCCAAAACCAGTTATGTCCAGCTTAAACCAGGCTTGTCAAGCTGGTTTTAGCTGGATTTAGCTGGTCATTTTCCAGCCTGACCAACTAAGACCAGGCTGGAAATGGCTGGAAACCAGCCTGGAAATGGCCAAAACCCCTCTAAATCCAGCCTAGGCTGGTTTAAGCTGTTTTTTTCAGTAGAGAAAATAGCATTGTATAATACAGTTAAGTATTGTACAGTTAATTAATTACAATTGATCTTTAATAAAGATGGCAGATGATATAATTGCTTGTGCCTGAATGATTTAAATGAATGTTTTGATTTTGTCGATAATTTCGCACCTTGAACAGGTATGGTAACAGTCTGGCCGTTGTTCGCTGTGACAGTAGCTGTTGCCATCGTAACCACAGTCTGTCCTGCTGGGATGGAGCTGACTATAGACGGCGGTGCCACTTTGACAGGTGGAGCAGGTTCTGGCGTCGTGTCTCCATCCACAAAAAGACGACGAACTGCTGTGCCAGTAGGGGGAGAACTGTAGCGGTCGTGGAGAGATGTAGGGGACGGAGAAACTCCTGAGGGGAAATGGCAGATGAATATTTTAGATGTGATTCAGTGAATGTTTTTAGATATTATCTTGCGTTCAGTTCGCATTCAAGTACTGTAAATCACCTTTTCCTGCTCCCGCTGCGATGTTGCCGCTGAATTCAGTCTTGCTGCTTGGGGTGTTTGCGTTGCTTCCTGAACCGTCCTCTAGGTGTTGAGGTGGCATTACCTGTCAGACGCATATTCATATTTTAACCCTGGTTATTTTTTAGCCACATATTTGTAATGTGTCAAAACCATAGACTGTAAGTGAAGTGTATCTATAAACTAATTTGGAGAGGATCGCGTGCGAGTTCAAATCGGCACCATAGACATGTTCCTAGTAAGTAGTTATCTCTTAAGAGAGATCACTCTCTGTTCATTAGCTACTACCGCAGGGGAGTTCTCCAGATCTACCAGAGCACAAACTCCCCTCTCGCCTTGCAAACGGGAGGGAGCCCCAGGCTCGAGGATCTTATGAGCTCAGGGGTCTCTCCTGGGACAGCATGGCAAACAAGCTTTATAATCAATCATCAGCTAGGTGTCAACTCTTGAAAAAATATGGACGTAGTGTCCGTGACGTCACTCATGGGTTTCTGAAGAGCACAAATGAAGCTACAATTGTACGGGGCCCACCATTGCCATACTGTCCGCATCACTCCGGGGTAACCAAAAATGGTCAAAGAGGTGGGGATTAGACAGAGCTAGAGATGCCTGTAGTTGAATCAGCTGGAAGGTGAGGTGCAGCAAGCAGCGAGACCTTGCTGTCACTCAAGTGGCCTTAATTATGCAAAACTTTAGGGCTTAATATAAATGCAAATGGATGAGTTATAAACAAAATCACCTCCCTTACAGTTGTCATCAAAGGTAATATTAGCTATATACATCAAAATATTTCTTGCACCAGGCTGTAAACACCTTTATTTCTGCTGTAAAATTGGGAATTTTACTGTTGAATTCAATAGAAGTGTGCTCTGTTTTGTAGCCAGCCCCTAGTGGCCTCTCGGTGAATTGCAGTTTCAGTTATTTCTGTATTAGCTTCACGAGGGAGAGCAGGAGGTCACCGCTTATTCAAAACAAGTAAACTCTGGTTATATACATGTATGTTTTTCAGAATAACATCTCTTTAAAACAAAATAGGAATATTGACAAAGGATAATTAAGAGCTGTTTAAAATGATTTAAGACATAACACAATACTTTAGTCAATTTAAAACTTTTTATGCCTAAATTTTTTAAGACACTAGAGTCCCATGGGAGGATGAAGACTACAACTCCCAAGATTCCACACTCAGTCACGCCATCATCACACTAGGCATCAGCCTATGCACTGTGCCTATAAACAGTAATTCACTGTCAACTTCTACAGAGCTGTATAAAAGGCATACTCCTAATTCTCACTGAGGTATTTTCCTTTACAGTATTAATGTAGATTCTTTTTGAGGATGGTAAGCATCATGGGTTATAAGCAGGTATTGTTCTGACCTCCTGGCAGGTGGGAACACAGTTTTTGGCCTCTCTGATTCGCTCCCACAGCGGGGAGTTTCCTTTCCATGCCAAAGACTCCAGCACCTGCTCCTCGACATGGTTCAGATGTTTGACCACCTCCCGGAAAAGACCCTCCTCAGCTCGTACCAACACCTCGATCACCTTTGAACAAGATTAAAAGGCTTTTTTAGGCCATGGTGTAGTCAAAAATGAAAAAGCCTTTCCTTAGCATTTTTAAAAAGATTCTCATTTACACCACCAGGCCAGTAGTTGGTGCTGTATAAAAAATAGTAGTCTCTCTCTATAATCTACCTTGTAAAAGTGATAAGCGGGGAGGTCAAAGATTTGCAGGACTCTGGGAAACTCTCCTGGTGGTCTATAGGAGAAGATGACGATCTCCAGACAGCAGGCGATCAGCGAGCGGTGAAACACATCCTGCTCCAGAACGCCCTGAGACACATGAGATGACACTCAGAGGACAGAACGAACTAAAGTCTGCAGGAAAATGGAGATGAAACCTACAGACAGGTCCACGTCTCCAAGACGTTTCTTCTCCTGGTTGATGATCACCTCCAGGGATTTATAGTAAAGTGCCTCCGCCAAGCAAAAATACTTCACTGCGATATCTGTAAAACACGACAGGCCCAAATTAGATGATGCAAGGGTTTAAACTGTGGAAACAAGGGGTTAGCTCACCCAGAAATTTCAATTATGTCATTAATTTCTCACCCTCAAGTTTATTCATCTTCAGAACACTAATTAGGTTTACTTAATTTGATTGCAATGCAATAACGTGCACCTTTTGAAATTGTTGTAGAAAGCGCAATACAAATAAATGTGAAATGAAGATATATTAGATCAAATCTGAGAGCTCCCTCATCCTACATAGACAGCAAAGGTCCCGGGACACTTACAGGCCAGAAAAGGAAGCAAAAACATTGTGAAAACAGTCTATGTGCATTATACGAAGCTGCAAGAACGCCGCTAAAAAATGGTTGGCCAATGCTTCCACATCAGATCAGGGTGCGCATTTACTATGGACAGTGTGTACTCTACAGTACATACACTGCCTGACAAAAGTCTTGGTCCCAGTTGTAAGAGCGACGAATAATAACTTGACTTCGAGTTGATCATTTGGAAAAGTGGCAGAAGGTGGATTTTACTGATGAATCATCTGCTGATCCAATCATCACCAATACTGCAGAAGACCTACTGGAACCCGCATGGAGCCAAGATTCTCATAGAAATCCGTCAAGTTTGGTGAAGAAAAAGTCATGGTTTGGGGTTACACTCAGTATGGGGAGATCTGCAGAGTGGATGATCAACATCAACAGCCTGAGGTATCAAGACATCTGTGCTGCCCATTACATTACAAACCACAGGAGAGGGACAATTCTCCAGCAGGATAGCACTCCTCATACTTCAGCCTCCACATCAAAGCTCCTGAAAGCAAAGAAGGTCACGGTGCTCCAGGATTGGCCAGCCCAGTCACTAGACATCAACATTATTGAGCATGTCTGGGGTTAGACGAAGGAGGAGGCGTTGAAGATGAACCCAAAGAATCTTGATGAATTCTGGGAGTCCTGCAAGTGATTTGAGTCATATCAGAGATGTATGGATGCAGTCCGCCAAGTAGAGGTCTGCATTCCCACGGGAGCCGCGAGACCCGACCAGATTTCTGCGGCGCGGAAATAAATTTCCGAATAAAGCGCGGGAGCGGTCGGTAACAGGTTTAATTTGGGACGGGAGCGGGCTGTCTAGCAATATCGCTCCCGACTCCCGAGCAAGGACGCGTGTGTATGTGTGTAAATGAAATAGCGCGATGCTGTGTTTAGCTTGTTTGTTGCTGTGTGTGTATGTGTGTGTGTGTGTGTGCGCGCGCGCGCGAATGAGAGAGAGAGAGCTTTGCCTGTGTGTGTGCTTGGTGCTTATGTATGTGTGTGTGTGTGTGTTTGTGTGTTAGTGCGCGCGCGCGAATAAGAGAGAGAGAGAGAGCTTTGTCTGTGTGTGTGCTTGGTGCTTATGTATGTGTGTGTGCGTGCGTGTGTGTGTGTGTGTGTGTGTGTGTTAGTGCGTGCGCGAATGAGCGAGAGAGCTTTGTCTGTGTGTGTGTGCTTGGTGCTATGTGTGTGTGTGTTTATACAGACAGCTTGTTATAGGCTGCCTGGACTCTGTATAGCTGGGTGGTTTTAGGTTTTGTTGTCATCCCCCCCCCCCGCGCTCTTTAGCGGGATCGGGCACAGCAGGTAGAAAACGGGGCGGGTCGGGCAGCGGGACAACAAATGCTTAATATAAGCGGGAGCGGTCAGGTTTGGGCTAAAACCTGGCGGGTGCGGGCGGGAGCGGGATTCAAAATTTAGTCCCTCGCAGATCTCTACCGCCAAGCTCATGATGGAGTCAGACACAATATTCATTCTGTCTCCACTGCAGCAGGACTTTATATTCAATACTGGACATTATTCCTGTTCAGTGATGAGACTTTGGTCTAAGCAAAGTCAGGCGTTACTGTCCTAATGACATCAGTCAAAATCCAGGCATGATCATATTTTATTTTGGCAAAATTTGGAGGCCTTCGCCTTTCATATAAGACACTTCTGATACCAAATGATCAAATAGAAGTCAGGTTATTATTTGGTGTTCATAAAACTTGGATATGCAACAAGACTTGTATGCACACACTGACCTCACCATGGGCAAACAAAGTCTTATTTACAGGGTTTTTCGGTGCACTAAGTTGTGATTATGAACCACTGAAGTCACATGGACTTATTTGATTATGTTTTTGGTTTGTTTTCTGCACTTTTAATTAATGAGGATCTCAGATTTCATCTAAAATATCTTCAGTTGTGTTCAGAAGATGAATGGACTGAGATGACATGATGGTGAGTGATTAACAACAGAATTGTACTATTCCTTAAGCTGCATATATGACTTATATATAAGTGTAAAGATTGTAAACCTCTCGCCAGGCTCTTGTTGTCGTCTCCGGTTCCCTCATAATTCTGAAGGAAAATCTCGGACATCTCCTTCAGTCTGGCTGCTACTGACTCTGTGGGGTCTCTTACACAGGATCTGATTGTAAACAGACATACCAGAGACTCGAGTGCACTTGAAATATCACTGCATGCAGGTTAATCTCAGCTCAATGCATACACGACTTTGGCAAATACATCTGTTTTGAATATCTATAATCTAATGTTGTCAAAAGTGTAGAGTTTACTACCAATCTGATGACCTCCACAGCCAATCACAGTCATTTCTGGTGAGTGTCTGAACACAATGACCAATCAGCGCTCAAATGTTAGCAGGAAATGGACATTTTTAAAATTTGAGTATCGATTGGTAGCAAACACGATACTTTTGACAGCACTACTATAATCTGAACACACTGAAATCACTTGCGTGACTTTTGACTGGAATCAGTGGCATTAAACCATCACAGATATATCAACGTTTACCCCAAGACTGGTGGCTAATTAAAGGGAATCTATGATGCAAATCACCTTTTGTAAGCTGTTTGGACACAACTGTGTGTAGTATAGTGTGTCCACAGTCATATTGGGGTGATATAAAGACAATAGGATCTAAATCCCTCCCATTCTGAGGCCCACATCTTTATTACGACATTGTGTGTGACTCATCGTTGCAGAGAGGCTTGGATTAACTCGACAACAAATACATCAAATAATCATTGGGAAAGTTCTTACTGTAGTAACGGAGATCTGCTTCAGTCTTGTCTGTCACTGTGCTGCTTATCTAAGTGAAGGCTACACGCATCAGAGAAATACTGAGAGATCTCTGTGGCTCTGACATGCATGTGGAAATGGTGGTCAGGGAGAACCAGCTCATTTGCATTAAAGGCACAGGCAACAAAAACAGCTACAATGTCTTAACAGATCATTCATTCATTCATTCATTCATTCATTCATCTTCTTGTTGGCTTAGTCCCCTTATTAATCCATGGTCGCCACAGTGGAATGAACCGCCAACTTATCCAGCTAGTTTTTTACGTGGCGGATGCCCTTCCAGCCGCAACCCATCTCTGGGAAACATCCACACACACTCTCATACACTACGGACAATTTAGCCTACCCAATTCACCTGTACCACATGTCTTTGGACTGTGGGGGAAACCGAAGCAACCGGAGGAAACCCACACGAAGGCAGGGAGAACATGCAAACTCCACACAGAAACACCAACTGAGCTGAGGTTCGAACCAGCGACCCAGCGACCTTCTTGCTGTGAGGCGACAGCACTACCTACTGCGCCACTGCCTCACCCTTAACAGATCAAACTTCCCAAGTTTAAAATGGTATAATAAATATTCTGGTGGGTATTTTAAGCGGAAACATTACACAAAAGACCAATTAAATCTTGAAAAGTGGTAAAATAGGTGCCCTTTAAAGTGAATCAGGTTTGTGGCTGGTCAGTATCTGCATGGGAAACCTATGATGAAGCCCACTCTGTGCTTTAAAGAGGTCATTGGGGGGCTCAATCTGTGGTCTGTGTGTCCTAAAGGCAGCAGGTCTGCCTGTTTTTCCACCATTTGATCTATATTGTGTACATGTCTGCGTAGCTTTCAAAGTATACTCAACCGCAGAAGAACATGACAGATGTGTTTGACACATGCAAATTCTGTTCTTCTGGTTGAACGTTCACCTCGGGCCTTCACCTGAGACATTACAGGCGGCCGTACAGAGCATTTTTGACTGAAGTAAATAATTCTAGGAATGTTTTTTTTTTCACACTAAGCTACTTGAAGTGCCCGAGCAAAGATCTACAGGAGTCAGGTTTGACTAACACGAAACACATTCGTATATATAACTGATAATGACTATAACTATGCTAATGTACAAAGAAAATAATGACAATATTGTGTCTTAAAGGGAAGCTCTTATGCAAAAAAAACACCTTTGTATGAGGTTTAAACACAGTTGTGTGTCAGCAGTGTGTGAATATAACACACTCATAATAGTCAAAATAAATTAATTGTACTTTTTATAAGACTTGATGAAAGCAGTCTGCAGAAACACTTTGATTGACATTCTCCCTTTGTATGATGTCATCAGAAGGTTAAAGCCCCGCCCACTAGTGATCATCTCTCTCCCATTAGCATATTACATCAGTCTTGTTGTTGAATCTGCCACTATGCTGACACACAGGCATCTGTAGCTCCTCCCTCGTTTAAAAAGAGCACAGCCTCATTTGCATTTAAAGCGACAGTCACCAAAACACCACACAATTAGGATCAAAGCCTAGAAGGGTCAGTTTCAGAGAGATATAAAGCATTATTTGTGTGGGGTTTAAAGCTGAAACTTCACTACACACACTCTAGAGACATCAGAGATGTGTTTTACATCTTGTTAAAAGAGGCATATTAGGTCTTCTTTAAGTGCAGATGATCTGCATCTTACTGATTACCTAAATATATCTCTGAGTTTGACGCTGGGCCTGTATTTGAATCCCGTCAGCAGGGTGTGCAGTCGGCCCACACTCTGCATGGCGCTGGAAACAGGAGTCCCCACAATGCTCTCCGGCACGTACCTCCTGCCTGTCAATGGAGTGGACACTCTGAGGGCAGACGCCTGTGAAACAGACACATCCACTCATAAGCATGACTCCATTTCCCGTGTATTCATTTGGTAATGTTTGCACGTGCCGTCATCGAGTTCTGCAGTGGGTTGTTCGCTCTGTCCTGGTTCTCTATCCCTTCGTAAGGTCCTGGTGTGCCGATGTCTTCTCTAGCTCCATCTCCCAGAAATATTCGCTCATCCAGAGAACCGGATGACAGGACATGTTCTTCATACACACGGTTCAGAGACGCCCTGAGGAAAGATCAGTTCACGAGGTCACACTCACAGATATTTGACTGAATAGAATATGCGTATTTGGCGTGCTGTCCGGGGAGAGGGCTCTGAGCTCGGGAAGACATCCTAATTTGTGTTATTCCAGTTATCAGGATAAAGAGAGATAGGGTCTGAGCGCACCCGGCACCAGAACACTCCCCCCTCAGATTTTAATAGGTTTAATAGTGTGGAGTTGGGGTGGTGGAGGGACGCTGAAGTCGAGAGAAAATAGAGGTATGACGCGTTTGACTATTTCTAGAGGTTTGCTCTTGAGCTGATTGGATAATAGAGTGATTGTGTGTGTGATGAATTAGCCTCGTCAAAGACTGATCGTGCTCGTCCCGAAATGAGTTTATAAAACATCACATTGTAAACGTCTGGAGAAATGTTGGAGGTGTTTAATGTTGATGCTTACAGACTGTCACCGAAATTCACTGGCTCCAAAAATCCTGTCAGCGTGTCCTCCTTTCCTTTCAGAATCTGCGGGAGAGGAGATATGGCTCATTTTGAGGACACATTTCATTGCCACCTGGTGGCTATTCATGGTATTGTTCCCAAAAAATATCTCCATTTAAATAATAATTAAAAAAAAAATCTTTTATTTGCACAACAATGGCAGTTTTGAAGCCTGTAAATCACATTTAAATAGTAGGTCCCGGGAGTCTCCCATATCCCGCCACACTCCCGCTTTGTTATATCTCCCGGAAAACTCCGGAATTTCACCCCCCTTCCCCAGTTCCTTAGCTTTTTGGTACAGTCTCTAACTCAACCCCCACCCGCTGCCCTCCCTGGTCTCTAATTTGTTACTTAGACCACCACCATGACACTCAATCCCCCAAATTCCCCCGGTCTCCTGGAAATTAAACTGTTATTAAAGGGTCACGAAACACCAGAACACATGTGTTGAGCTGTTGACAGTGGTATATGTGTCCCACACATCTATAAACACTATTAGGACACCTATATTTCACTAAAAAGTGTAAACTGGTTGTTTTTGCGTTGTTTCAAGCAAATTCAAACTCCCTGTTTGAAACGAATGTTTGAAGCTGCGTCACGGTCATGACATAATAGCGTGTATTCCAGCGTGCAGACTGGACGTCTGTGCCAGAGTGAGTCTTATTACGTCTTACAGTGTGATGCATTAATGCACGAGTAAGGCTTGGTTCAAACCAATCAGCGCGCTCCATTGTGCAACTTCATTAATATTCATTACTGTCACAGTGTTTAGACGACAGAGACGCCACGTTGTGTTGGCAAAACAAGCGTGAAGTGTTGCTTTTATAATCTGCTGCAGTGAAGTTTTGTTTTCATTTTCTCTCTGTGAGAGCGCAGCTGGAGTCACGTGTGGATTAACAGTGTACGCGACGCTCGACAACAATAACTTACATGTCTAAGGAGGAACATTGTTTACCTGAGAGCTGTTCTCATCTGCAAACACTGAGATCCGGATTCGCTTGTAGTCTCCTCTTAATAAAGACGCGGCTCTAGTTGCTGGTGATTGTGGAGATTTGGTAAGTGAGTGACCAGTGCTCTTTGTTTATTCAGTTTGTTCGTATTGAACTAACAATTGCACCGAGTGTAAACATGTTAGCACCACAACCAAACTTTAACCTCAAGTAGGATTTTCACCGCATTTTATGACCGGAATAACACACGCGGCTTTCTGACGCTACCTGCCGTGTGTATCTAAGTTTCCGGGAAATGCTGAGTTTTTTTTTCTCTCATTCGCCGTGCGGTATCAGACATTGCATGAAAAATACACGCTTAGAGCAGCTCTTCGAATCATATATCTTGTTTGTCACAAGGGGCATGAATGAATTCCCTGAATGAAAGAGCCAAACTGCAGTTAAAGTCCACCATTTAATAATTTGGCAAATGATTCGACTACAGATGTCCATGTGAACACAGTCACATTGTCCGCTGTGGTTGTGTGTTTTGACTCTGAAAGTCAGCGCGCCCAAATAGACACTCCCACACCATCCCACTTTAGTTCCTTAGACACTCCCCCCTAAACAGAGCCGGACACGCCCACTTTTGAGACTTTTTCCGAAGTAGAGATGTGAAAACACCCTGCTGAAACGAGGGGGTTTCATGGCCCTTTAATGACAAATGTTGGCAGGTATGATAAAGAGGCATAATATTGGAAGCGTCCATCCTCGTGTCTGGTGTATTTCCAGTACCTTTCGCTCAAACAATTTCTTAATGAAGGGTTTCCAGAAATGCTCTTTAGCTCCTTTGGCCTCCAGCACCAGACCATCGTGAAGCTCACAAAGCTGCTCTATGAAACATAACGAACCCGGGCCCGGCTTATAATCTTTACTGTTGAAGTCCTCAGGCAACCCTGCGCACAAAACAAACACAAACCAATGTTAGTTTAAGCTTCTGCTGTCTGGAGAAACGGGTTCAGACTGAGCGCTGTGTGTGCGGGAGACCTTTAAAGGCTGGGTTGAGCAGATCTTTCCGGCTCGAGCACAGCAGCGCGTTACAATAAACCAGATCCAGAGCACAGAGCAGCAGATGATACGAGTTCACCAGGTCATCGCTGATCATTGGGAAGTTTCCTACAGGACAGGGGAGACATCAGATATTCATGAAACACATTTCTGTGGACATTTTTCAGAAAGCTGTTCTCATAAAAATGCACACGTTCATGGAATTGTTGGTGTTTTAGTTGGCATGAATGAAATCTACAACTATATACAGAGGCATAGCTGAATAATAAAAGTTCAGTACATGAAAATGGCCATCAAACACCACTGTTAACAATATATAAAGTTTTAAAACCCTAATGAAAAACAGTCCAGTTGCAACAAAACATCCTCAGGGGATCGTTAATATGCACAACAAAGGCAGTGCAACATCTCCTAGTGAGCCTACAGCAGTGATCGTTGTTTATCCTTATTTTAAAATGGATCTAAGCTTTAAACATGCTTTATATGTGGGACTCTTATTTTGAAATCAGGAGATGCATGAATACTCAGGGGTAGTTATTTAAAGCAGGCAGAAATGTGTCACATCTGTTTAAAGCTTGTCCGAATGCAAAATGCAGGATATACGGATTCAAAAATTTTCAGATCGCCATATCGTCCCCCTGTGAGATCGCTGAAACACGATACTGTCGCTGCAGTGTTATGTTTATTTTTATACAACAGTTCTGTCTGGTTCTTCAATCTGATTGGCTGATAGCCGTGATATATTTAAGTAATATCAGCACCCGTACAGCCTCTTTACCCTTTGTGTATTACTCCGCCCACATACAGCCAGCAGAAAGCAGACACTACAGATCTAAAGCTTAAAAGATGCTCGCTCAGCTGTTTTACTGTCAGCTTATGATTTGAATCCAACGCGGAAGAAAGTAGTTCCTCAAGGGTTTTTGAGATTCTCCATGTTTGATTTTGTTTTTATTTACACAATTATGCTGTCAAACTGTTGTATAAACGCAATATCACACGAGTAGCAGTGCGATATGGCTGTATATCGGCACTGGTGGGGGCACTAAGGCAACGCACGCCTCCCACCAGTGCCGATATACAACCATATTGCACTGCTACTCGTGTGATATTGCTCATATATGTAATATTTTATTATTATATTTAATCGTATCTAAACATATTTAATAACCATTTGGTTGATTTTTAAAAAACTTCTTTAATAACCTACTGCATTTTCATTACGTTTGATCGTGGATAATAATTCATGTGGGTGTTTTTCCAGTACTGGGTTGCGGCTGGAAGGGCATCTGCTGCGTAAAACATATGCTGGAATAGTTGGCGGTTCATTCCACTGTGGCTCCCCCAGATTAATAAAGGGACTAAGCTGAAAATAAATTGAATGTTGTGTTTTTTAACATGACTCTAAGAGCCTGACTTGAAACTTTGTTTATAAAGAGTGAAGTTTAGTATGAACTTGTTTCCTCAAATGAAACTAAAGATGCGTCTAAAGCAGAACAAAACTGAGCACAATAGTGTTGAGCAGGAAAGCACTGGCGATCACAGTATGAACATATATCAAGCAGACAGGCAGCAGGAAAAGTCTGCAAAAAGCAGCCTGGGCCGCTACGCCACGGTGTTTGGATTTACAGCTTCCAGGTTAACTTATGTAGTTTAAAGGAGACCTATTATGCGCCTTTTACAAGATGTACAATAAGTCTCTGATGTCTCTAGTGTGTGTGTGTGAAGTTTCACCTCAGAATACCACACTGATAATGTTTATATCTCTCTGAAACTGACCCTTTTAGGCTTTGATCCTAATTGTGGTGTTTTGGTGACTGTCGGTTTAAATGCAAATGCTCTTTTCAGAACAGGGCGGAGCTACAGATGCCTGTGTGTCAGCATAGTGGCAGATTCAAGAACAAGCGGCAACCTACCTCTCTCCCTCGTGAAGCAAATACTGAAGTAAACTGAAACTGCAATTTATTGAAATTCCGCTAGTCTTGCCTCCACAATAGAGCAGATTTCTATTGAGTCCACTGCTAAAATGGCCTTTACAGCAGAATAAAGGTGTTTACAGCCTGGTACAAGGAACGATTTTGGTGTATATAGCTAATATTACCCTTCATGACAACTGTGAGGGGGTGAATTTTTTTATAACTCATTCATTACTCATTAATTTATATACTTATGGATACTTACCATATCTTTTACAGTCTATGTTCAAGACTAACGCCTGGTTTATACTTCTGCGTCAAGTGACCGGCGTAACCCACGGCGCATACAACACGCGTAGCTGTGCATTTATACTTCTTCGCGCTGTCTCTGTTGGTCTGCATTACACTTCTGAAACGCTAGTTGGCAGTGAGGTGTAAATGTTCCTCTGTGTCGAGTTTCTTCAATGCTGTTTTGCTTTTCCTGAACACTTCCTGAATGTACAAGTGGCTCAAACTCGCTCATTTTGAGGCAGGACCCGGCGGACGTGCAACAACTTTACTATGAGGTAAACACAAAACAAAAATTTCCATCAGGAGCTCCTTCACAGGACTCCCCACTTGTTAACAATCGCTCCATCGGGCTAGCACCATTCACGCGGCTCTCGGTCCCGCCCAGACTCGTCAAAATTTGTGAAAATAATTTGTGAAATAATTTTCCCTCCACTACAACTTTTTATTATTTTTCTAACACGTCCCACATTTTTAGACATAATAGTTTGAATAACCTAATAATATTAATTTTCCTTAAGCTTAGTTCCTTTATTCATCAAGCCTGATTTATACTTCTGCGTCAAACGCCGGCGTATGCTACAGCGCTGACGCATAGCCCTTCGCTGTGGCTGTCGGCGTCGCTGACGTGCACCTCTCAAAAATTGTAACTACACGTCGCAACGACTCGTAGCGCAAGCTCTGTGATTGGTCGGCTTGGTAGCACTGACGAGTCTGGGCGGGACCGAGAGCCGCGCGAATGGCACGAGCTGGACGTGATTGTTTACAAGTGTGGAGTCCCGTGAAGAAGCTCCGGATGGAAAGTTTTGTTTTGTGTTTACCTCATAGGTAAAGTTGTTGCACGTCCGCCGGTTCCTGCCTCAAAATGAGCGAGTTTGAGCCACTTGTACATCCCGGAAGTGTTCAGAAAAAGCAACACAGCAGTGAAGAAACTCGACACAGAGGAACTTTAACACCTCACTGCCAACTAGCGTTTCGGAAGTTTTAATGCAGACCAACAGAGACAGCGCGAAGAAGTATAAATGCACAGCTACGCGCGTTGCATGCGCCGTGGGTCACGCCGGTCACTTGACGCAGAAGTATAAACCAGGCTTCAGGGGTCGCCACAGCAGAATGAACAGCCAACTATTCCAGCATATGTTTTACACAGTGGATGCCCTTCCAGCTGCAACCCAACACTGGAAAACACCCATACACAATCATTCGCACTCATACACTACAGACAATTTACCCTACCCAATTCACCTAGCACATGTGTTTGGACTCTGGGGGAAACTGGAGCACCCACGCGAACACGGGGAGAACATGCAAACTCCACACTGAAATGCCAACTGACCCAGCCAGGACTCGAACCAGTGACCTTCTTGCTTTAAGGCGACCGTGCTAACCACTCCTCTATAATAATATATTAAATATTGATTTTCAAATGCACAATAAAATGTATTGCATATTTTATGCAAGCTGTACAGTAGCTGTCAAGTTAATGTCAGTCAAGTTATTTACAGTACCTGTTTGTCGTCCCTCAGATATGACGGCTCTGCATCTTTAAAGCTCGATGGGCTCTTTCCTCAGTGTGTGTGTCTGCAGAATGAGGGATTGTTCCTCAGGTTCAGGAGCACAGAGAGAAACTGGGCTTCACCCAAACACAGGCAAGCCCTGACTTGTCATCTGTGCTGCTGGTTGCTAAGCGACACACGTGAGGAAATAATGCACTCCTGCTGTGCTGCACTCTGCTTCTACATGGAAGCTTTACTATTTGCCTTCATATAATATACAGCTGAAGTCACAATTATTCGCCCTCCTCTGCATTATTTTTTCTTTTTCAAATATTTCCCAAATGGTGTTGAACAGATCCAGGAATTTCTCACAGTATTTCCTTTAATATTTTGTTCTTCTGGAGAAAGTCTTATTTGTTTTATTTCAGCTAGAATAAAAGCAGATTTTATTTTTTAAAGGCATTTTAAGGTCAATATTATTAGCCCCCTAAGCAATATTAGTTTTGGATTGTCTCCAGAACAAACCACTGTTATACAATGACTTGCCTAATTACCCTAACTTTACCCTAATTACCCTAGTGAAGCCTTTAAATGTCACTTTAAGCTGAACACTAGTGTCTTGAAGAACATCCAGAGATGTCCAAACTATGTCGCCATCCCATCTGAGAAGAAAGGGAGAATGAAGGCGAGGTAGGGATTGTCATTATTTTTATTATGGTGCGATCCTCGACTAGTCAAGTTGGCGTTTCTTTGTGGAGTTTGCATGTTCTCCCCGTGTTGGCGTGGGTTTCCTCCGGGTGCTCCGGTTTCCACCACAGTCTAAACACATTATTATTTCCTTTATTTAGCCAGGAGATCACATTGAGACAGTACTGTCTCTTCTTCCAGTGAGACCTGGTCAAGATGGCAGGCAGCACATAATGTTTCATATAAAAATCACAAACAATACCACAAAATTACAAAATCACCATTCTTAAAAACATCAGCTCATAAAAAACAATTGCAGGTGTCCTTTAAAATGTTGTATAAAAGATGTTTAAAAGTACTCAGAGTCGGAAGAGTGTCAAGATTGAGCTGATTTTGCAGGTCATTCCAAGCCCTGGGAGCGTAAACGGAAAAAGCATGTTTGCCAAGTTCTGATAGTACCCTTGGAACTGTTAGACGAATACATGAATTAGATCTAGTGTGTTGATTGTTGGTGTGAAATGTTAATAAATTAAAAAATATAGGATGGTACTTTACATAAAAGAGCCTTTAAAATAAATAAGTACAGATGTAATTTTCTCCTTTGATATAGAGATAACCAGTCTAAGGAAACATACAAAATACAGTGATGCATCCGTGAGTCTGCACCTGTCACAAAGCGTATTGCTGCATGATAAACAGAATCTAATTCTCTTAATAGGGGAGCGGTTGCGTGCATATAGAGATGATCACCATAATCCTTTATAGACAGAAATGTACTCTCTACTAATTTTTTTCACAAGAAAACAATTTCTTGACCGGTATAAAAAACCTAACTTTGGCCTAAGCTTTTTCAGTCACTTGTCAATGTGTATATCAAAGGCGTATCTCTCATCAATCCAAACACCTAGATATTTATAAAAGCTAACTCTTTCTATTTGAACACCGTTCAGAGTTGTTATTGTCTGATATGTTGACTTAGGCCCTGTTTACACTAGTGCGTTTTAGTTTTAAAACGGCGTTGTAGAATGAAAACGATCCGCGTCCACACTCGCGTTTTACCCAGCGTTTCTGAACAGCTCTCCGTCCACACCAAAACGCTGAAAACGCACATCACGTGACCACACACACACTCTCGGCAAGCACTCCAGCATTTCTACCCAGATGAGAGCTCTGCTTGTCGGACTGCTCATCACGCATCTCCCGCTGGATCTAATCTCACTATATTTGCTAAACGTGATATTTCATTCATGTTGTTGTCTTTATCTAACGACATATTCCCTGACTTTGGTCATTGGAAACTATTAAGCTACTTGTTCACGGGTAACATGTTTTGGTTAAGTGCAAAGATAAGTTAATGATTAATCCAGGTACATTGACTGATCACTTGCCTTTATTTCCTACAATGTATAAACTTATTGTATGTTATACTTTTATAATTGTCGATTATTAAAACTGATATTCAGCAAAAGAGAGGGTGTGTTTGGTATTTTCACTGAAATTAAAAGGAGGCAGTTGTTATCGGCTCCGTTTTGTTATAAATATCCAAACAGTGAAGATGACGCTCATATATGCAGCACGGCGCCTCAACATTTCTGCTGTCTGTTTAGTTTTCTAATATAAAAAAAAGGGGCAGTTCCTTAAATCATGTTTACATTTTATTGTTGAGAAAGTGAAACAACGTAGCCAAGGTGATGTGAATGAAGTTATAAAGTACACTGTTCCCTGTGAAGATTGACGGGTGTCCTCGGTATGTTTTCCATATCAAACTGAGAAGGGGGAGACTGCAGCCTTGATCAAACTTGCGAAGTCTTAACTTACAAGAAGAGGATGCGAGACTGAACTGTGTGTGGGCTACTTAATATTGAGGAAAAGCCCCAATCAGAGAGGCGAACGTTTGCAGCCCCGCCTCCGTTTTCAGATGTCTCCGTCTTTCCCCATCCACACTGAGACGGAGCAGCAGCGTTTCAGAATGAAAACGGCCTCTCCAGCGTTTTCAAAAAGCTCCGTTTTCGGCGCTCGAGAACTCCAGCGTAGTGTGAACGGATGGCGTAACCGTAGCAAAACTTATGCGTTTTCAAACTAAAACGCACTAGTGTAAACGGGGCCTTAGTGCGGCCACGGCTAAAAATCATGTATTTAGTCTTTTTTGAATTTAAAACCAATTTTAAATTTTGCAAAGTACACTGCAATACTTGAAAAGCAATCTGTAGATGCTGTACAGCTTGGTTTAAAGAATGTGCTGCTGTAGGGGAACTGATCAACTATATTGGCTGTAGTGTATAAGTGTGTGTGTGTGAATGTGAGAGTGTATAGGTGTTTCCCAGTACTGTCTCTGCTGGAATAGTTGTCAGTTCATTCCACTGTGGCAATCCTTGATAAATAAGGGACCAAGCCGACGGAAAATGAATGAATGAATTGCTTTTTAAATTGCAAAACAATCTAGCTTTATTCTTTTAATCCGGGTTGATTTTTATTTATACATGTGTGTGCATATACACATGGTTCCCCCATTTAATGTCCATCAAGGGAGCTCAGCATGCCTGATCTTGCAGAAATAAGGACAACAATAAAGCGCAGACCGGATGATTCTGCTGAATTGTGTTCATATGTGATGAACTGCTGTCCTGCTGATCTCTGACTAAATCAAACATGCCTGAACAGGCGCAGATAATCACACGGGTCACATGATCAACCCTCAGCACTCTCAGCCAATCAGAGGCAGAGCTGCTGTTTAGCGTTTGACCAGTGGAGGAGGAAAAGAGCTCAATAATAAACTACTCATCATAATCCCTTCAGCGTTCACACGCACACACACACACACACACACACACACACACACACACACACACACACACACACATGGTTGTCCTTTTCAACACAACTGAAACTAAACTCTTTTTTTGACAGTAATATACATTATATATATTCAACACTGTATGGCTGCGTCTCAATCAGCACCCTTGTTTACTAGCCAGTGCACTGATCAGGCCAACCATCTTAAGTGCTGTCTAAATCACAAAATTCTTCCAGTGCACTAAATGTTCAACACCTTGAAAAGTCCCATGATGCACAGTAAAATCAAGATGCATCGATAAACAATATATACACTTGCCGGCCACTTTATTAGGCACACCTTACTAGTACCGGGTTGGACCCACTTTTGCCTTCAGAACTGTCTTAATCCTTCGTGGCGTAGATTCAACAAGCTACTGGAAGTGTTCCTCATAGATTTTGCTCCATATTGACATGATAACATTACATGGTTGCTGCAGATTTGTCGGCTGCACATCCATGATGCCAATCTCCTAATCCATTACATCCCAAAGGTGCTCTATTGGATTGAGCTCTGGTGACTGTGGAGGCCATTTGAGTACCGTGAACTCATTGTCATGTTCAAGAAACCAGTCTGAGATTATGACATGGTGCGTTATCCTGCTGGAGTTAGCCATCAGAAGATGGAGACACTGAAGGTCATGAAGGGATGGACATGGTCAGCAGCAATACTCAGGTAGGCTGTGGTGTCGACACCATGCTC